ATTTGATTTATATCCCGCCTATCTGGTCAACTATCTGGCATGGTTAGTGCTCTCCTTTTTCCAAAAGATGATAGCTCAGTGAAGAAAAGAAGAAAATGCTTATGTCAAACACCAAGGAAATGACAACATGAGCAATTTTGAAATAGTGAAATGGAGAAGAGAATTCTTTAGCTAGTTCCATTATTAGGGCATCTTTTGGGGGCCTTGAAGGCCACACATGGTATTAGCATTGGGGCTGAAAGCTATACATGTATGTGTGGATTATCACATATAGAGAACCACAAACAGCAATCCTGCCCCAACTCTTTCAGCTGAGGCAGTCAGTTCTGGGCACCACAGAAAGAGACCAGCTCTCTTCTTCCCTCTCCCTGGGGCCTTCCTGTGCTTAGAGAAAAGGGAAGCACAGAGATGGGAGCATAACATGGATGACAGAGAAAGACACTGACTTCCTTCTTCTGTTGCTCAGATGACCTCATCCGTCATCTCCCGGGAACCAGCAGTGTGTGGGGTCGGGGGATTGGAAGAACAGTATCTTTGATTGTCATGGGTTTGTGTGCATGCGTGGGGTAGGAAGGCTTCATGTAGACCTTTCACCTCTTTCCTACAACTTTTCATCTTGTCTGGATTTTCAAACAACTTGCAATAATTGAAGCAGACCTATCCAAAGTGTTCAACAATACAGTATATCACAGAAGTGAGTACACTCCCTCACATTTCATAAATATTTTAGTATATATTTTCATGTGACAACACTGAAGAAATGACACTTGGATACAATGTAAAGCTGTAGGTATACACCTTCTCTTAACCCTCTTCGGCATAGAGTTCACCAGAGCTTCACAGGTTGCCACTGGAGTCCTCATCCACTCCTCCATGATGACATCACAGATCTGGTGGATGTTAGGGACCTTGTGCACCTCCACCTTCTATTTCAGGATGCCCCACAGATGCTCAATAGGGTTGAGGTCTGGAGACATGCTTGGCCAGTCCATCACCTTTACCCTCAGCTTCTTTAGCAAGGCAGTGGTCGTTTTGGAGGTTTGTTTGGGGTCGTTATCATGTTGGAATACTGCCCTGTGGCCCAGTCTCCGAAGGGAGGGGATCATGTTCTGCTTCAGTATGTCACAGTACATGTTGGCATTCATGGTTCCCTCAATGAACTGTAGCTCCGCAGTGCCAGCAGCACTCATGCAGCACCAGACCATGACACTCCCACCACCATGCTTGACTGTAGGCATGACAACTTGTCTTTGTACTCATCACCTGGTTGCCGCCACACACACTTGACACCATCTGAACCAAATAAGTTTATCTTGGTCTCATCAGACCACAGGACATGGTTCCAGAAATCCATATCCTTAGCCTGCTTATCTGCAGCAAAACGTATGTGGGTTTTCTTGTGCATCATCTTTAAAAGAGGCTTCCCTCTGGGACAACAGCCTTGGAGAGCAATTTGATGCAGTGTGCAGCAAATGGTCTCAACACTGACAGGCTGACTCCCCACCCCTCCAACCTCTGCAGCAATGCTGACAGCACTCAGCTGTCTCTTTCCCAAAGCCAACCTCTGGATATGACACTGAGCACGGGCACTCAACTTCTTTGGTTGACCATAGCAAGGCTTGTTCTGAGTGGAACCTGTCCTGTTAAACCACTGTACAGTATGGTCTTGGCCACCATGCTGCAGCTCAGTTTTAGGGTCTTGGCAATCTTCTTACAGCCTAAGCCATCTTTATGTAGAGCAACAATTCATTTTTTCAGATCCTCAGATAGTTCATTACCATGAGTTGCCATATGGAACTTCCAGTGACCAGTCTGAGAGAGCGAGAACAATAACACCTGAGACTTGTGACACTAACGGGTCTGATGACACCAGGAAAGAGAGAGTGAGAACAATAACACCTGAGACTTGTGACACTAAAACGGGTCTCAAGACACCAGGAAAGGAAAATGGCTACTTCGGCCCAATTTGGACATTGTCACTTAGAGGTGTACTCTCTTTTGTTGCCAGTGGTTTAGACATTAATGGCTGTGTCTTGTGTTATTTTGAGGGGACAGCACATTTACACTGATATACAAGCTGTATACTTACACAATAACACCTGAGACTTGTGACACTAAAACGGGTCTCAAGACACCAGGAAAGGAAAATGGCTACTTCGGCCCAATTTGGACATTGTCACTTAGAGGTGTACTCTCTTTTGTTGCCAGTGGTTTAGACATTAATGGCTGTGTCTTGTGTTATTTTGAGGGGACAGCACATTTACACTGATATACAAGCTGTATACTTACTGCTTTACATTGTAGCCAAGTGTCATTTCTTCGGTATTGTCACATGAAAAAAAGGACTCAAATATTTATGAAATGTGAGGGGATGTACTCACTTCTGTGATATACTGTGGATGCTTGAAGAATTTTTGAAAAAACAGGATCTTAGATATTAAAGAAACAATTAAATGTCATCTAGGTATTCCTTACATGGTGGATCAAATGGAGTATATGGACTGCTTTCCTCCTCCTCCTCCTCCTCTTCTTCATCATTCTCATTGTTTTCATTGTCATCCGTTTCATTCTCTGTTTCATTTCCTGCCTCTGCAGCTTCCTCATCTCTTCTAGTCCCATTTGTTCCCCTGTCTGCCACATTGATTAGCCCTGATCCATTCTCCATAGTATGCTTGACAGGGACCTTGATAGCCACCTCTGATTCTCCATTAGTGTATACTCTGCTGTTTATTAGTCTCTGCCTCTATTGGAAAAGATAATGATAAATGTATAAATAGTTTATAAAACACAACAGGTTTAAATCATATGCCGAAAATAAATACTGTAGCTGCTGTAAGTTATAAAACAGCATAATCTCATCTCAATTCAGGCTCTTGGAAATTGTGTTCTCCCCCACTTTACTCAGTGTGGTGTACTGGACAAACTGATGGACTAGAACTCAGGAGACCTGGGCTCAAATTCATGGCTCAGCTGTGGAAACTCATTGGAAGAGTGGAACTGGTAAAGCCACTACTTAAATGAAAGCCGTATTAGTGACGCTGTAAGTCGGTTTAGACTTAACAACACATAACAACACTTTATGAGAATCTCAATATTCCTTCATGAAAACTGCATCTCATATTCTTTGATCTTGCAAACAATTTTTATATTTTAAAATAAAGATGATTAATATAGTGTTTAACTAATCAACTAATTAATCAATTAAGTATAAATTGCACATCCCTAAAATCTCAATGAGCATGCTTTTTTGCAGCACTGTATTCAGCAGATTAATCAATGAAAGCTTTAGCTGAATAATTGCCTCATAGAGTGGTAGATTTTTTGGATTTTTTTTGGGGGGGTTCCTTCATTTAAATTTAATGAGGGAATCCCCCCCCAAAAAAAATCTACCACTCTATGAGATTGTATATTCTGTCTCTAACACTGTATTACATTGTTCCTGAAAACTCCAAACAGTTCTAAGAAATAAGAAACTGGACAAGGCAATTAATCAACTAAGGCTTTCATTGATTAATCTGCTGAATACACTGGTTAAAGGCTGCAATTTCATTTTAAATAGCTCTTAATCAGTTATAGAAATAGCAATATTTTCATAGACATTTTAAAAACAACAAATGACTCATCATTTTACCAATGCAATAATTTATCGCAGAAATATTAAGTCACTGCTCTGCCCTGTAGAGAAGTAATTATATAATGGAATTCATGTGAGAGAGTATAAGACTTGTTCCTGGGAAACTTCTAAGATGACCTTTTGTAAACTCACAATCTATTTCCCATCTACGATACAGGAACAAAAGTGGCCACTGTTGCAGCATTGCCCTCAGAACAAAGCAATATTTTATTTCTGGACTATGCTTCTAGGTTTTGGCCAAGACTAGGTTTGTGTCCCAATGGTTCCCTTTGGGACTTGCTTTCCTCCTGTTTCTCCATCTGTTTTGGGTACAGCCTTCTAATCTCTCTGTAACACAATTCCTCCTCCACCCTGGAGGAGTGCAACCCCTTTCCCCTCTTTCTCATGTTCCCTCTCATTCAAACATTTGCTTAGCCTGCCAATCATTGCCATCAGGGTATTCAGTAAGAAAACAAAACAAAATGCAAATTTGTCCCACCCTCATGTGGTCTAGGTTTGGGCCAACTTTGTGAACTGAGAGAAAAAGGTACAGAATGAGGTACAATCTACCTCAGGGTCAAGGCAAGTTCATCACTCCAGCCTATTACACACAGAGATGCCCCTCTGTCATCCCTTCTGAACAGTGGCTTAGGAGCAGCCAAGGAGTGGCAGAGAACTGCACCTAATATACAAGTCATGAGTGGTACAAGGAAACAGGTGGAACCCATCATTTGAAGAAGACATAGAAGATACCTCATTGATCAACATGCGGCTGGCCATGGAGAGCCGGGTTCTGGGAGGAAAGTGGCTGGTTATCATTATCCGGAGCCCAGCTTCTGAGAAGGAAAGCTGGTGTGGATATGCAGACAGCAGTTCATCCACCATGATCACGGATGCTTTACGGTGGAAATTTCCTAAGGACATTTAACAGATGGTTAAAAAAAAATTATAATAGTCAAAGACAAGCACAGAAAGATCCAATAAAACACACACACACACACAAACACACACACACACACACACACACACACACACACACACACACACACACACACACACACACACACACACAATACCCAGGACAGATTAACTACCAATGTTAGTAATCAATAAATATGCTCTATTATGGCACCCAATTAGCAAAGAAATATAGTAAGCTGTAGCAAGTTGCATAATCTGGCCACTTTATCACTAATTCAGTTGACAGTTGAAAGAAATATGAAATTCCTCTATTCTATCTGGGATTTTTAGAACAAAAGGTGCAATAAACACTGGCAAATATTGTGATAAAAAAGAAAAGTTTAATAAAATATAACCCAGCAGCTTCCATTTCCCCACTTTCACAAGGGTATACTCTTTCCTGACATGAAACTTCATGGTTCCATCTTGAAAAAGCAGAAGGTAGAGCAATGAATCTTGGGAAGGTAACATTTTTCTGAACTTCTCTCTAATTTTTAGAAGAACAGGAAGACTATCTAGTTTTGAGGAACACAACAGTTTAATAGATGTATATAGTCCACACTTTTAAAAATTGCCCCTTATGGTATCAAACAGCTTTATGAAGCACACTTCCAAAATGTGCAAGTCCTGTTTAATGAGAGACTATAGCAAGATGGAGCAGGTAGAGAGACGAACATGTGAACTTAAAAGCAACTGCTCATTCACAGCAAGTCACTAAGTGCTCTTATCCAACCTCGTCTTGAGGTTATTATTACCAACTTTCAAAAAAACATAAATACAACCTGCTGGTAGTCATGAGATGGCAGGTTCCTCTAATCAAAAATCCCATTTTCCACCTTAGCCAACCAGATGCTTCTGGTTGCTTCAGGATAGTCCTAATTATAGTTGCCGTCTTCACTGCTATCTTTCCCTTTTATCAGGAATTTAGTAATATGCCAGTCCTGAACACAATCGTCCACTTAGTAATAATAGCTCATAGCCACTACCGACTAATGGAACCTCCATCAATTTGAACCTATGCTGGTTAGGGAATCCTGGGAGTCATAGTCCAAAGAGATAATACAGTGGTGCCCCGCTTGATGATTACCTCGAGGAAATCGCTTAACAATGAAGTTTTTGTGATCGCTTTTGCAATCGCAAAACAATGTTTTAATAGGGAAAAATCGCTTCACGATGATCGGTTCCCTGTTTCGGGGACCGATTTTTCGCTTAATGACAATCAAAACAGCTGATCGTTGGGATTTCAAAATGGCTGTCTGCTGTGTAAAATGGCTCCCCGCTGTGTTTTAAGATGGATTTCTCACATTACAGGCACCAGAAAATGGCCGCCCTATGGAGGATGTTCACTGGACGCTGAGGTATTTCGCCCATTGGAACTCATTGAACCGGTTTTCAATGCATTTCAATGGGATTTTTACTTTCACTTGACAACGATTTCGTTCTACAGCGATTTTGCTGGAACGGATTATCCTCGTCAAGCGAGGCATCACTGTATTTCCAAGTTCTGTCCTACATACATTGGCTGAAATCCTGCTGTGCAATGTAAGCAATATTGTAGGTTTTAGTTATTTTCTCACCATGATTCTCCAGAGAGCACATGCACGCATCAGGCTAATTTGTTTGCACACCCTCAGGAATCACAGCGAAGGCTCCTTATTCACGAGTGAGGAACTGACCAAAATATACAACTTTGCTTACATCATACAAGAGGATTTCAGCCACTGATGGTGGATTCTTTGTACGCCCTGAATGAACTGCCTATCTATTTCTTTGGGTGATCCAAATTCCATTACTAAGAGAAACGGGAGAAAAATCTCACCCTCCCAACTCTCTCTACACCATATATTATGCCACACACTATTTTTATAAGGATTGTTGAGATAATATGTGTGTTGAAGTACACTGAACACAATCCATAAAATGCTACATGTATTTATTATTTATACATATAATCTGAAGTATTTCTATCCCACCCCTCCAGTGTAATCATAGACACTAAGTATTTCTTCTTTTTATTATGAGTACTATAAACAGTAATTAATGTAGTACTGACACATATACTTTGATCACACCTGAGTCTGTGACTTGTAATAGCTTTAGTGATGTGATTAATTTCAACATGAAGAGGATTCTGGAATTACTGATATGTTCTACTGATAGCCTGTCTTTCTTCTGTGGAACTCAAGATGGCATGTGTTTCCCATCCAGGTACTAGCCATGTCGAGATATGCTTCATTTTGGCAAGGCTGCAGCCCTGTGTGCACTCACATCAAGCCAGAGAAAAGGTCTTTGTTTATAAAGCTGAGTAGGAATAATCCCTTATTCCTTGTTGCCAATAAAAACTGGGGGTGGGGGAGATTTTTAATTGTCTTTCAAGGAAATGGAATTTAGGAGCATAAAACTCATTGGTGTCAGTAGGAATGTTCCTCTGATAGCCATGAGCTAGTGACTACCATGTTTTCCCCCACTATCCCTTCTCTGATTGATACGACATTATGACATCACATTGTTCCAAAAGGGTTATTCCAGCTTTCAGTCTTCTCTCTTAATGTTTTCCTTGTCTGATCTGATGTATCTTTTCTGACTATGAAAAGACTATGAAAAGTACACTAAAGGGAAATATTTTACAAAGTAGACTTTATTGTCTCCCTATTTCAGAAACCTGGATCAGTTGGGGGCTCCACCTTGGTATACATGATCACTACATGGATTCTGTATTTCCTATAACAAACATATAAAGTGTGTACAATTGTGTGTTCTTTAAGGTTTAAAACATTAATGGATGGTACACATATCTTGGAACACTGAATGGGCCAAGGCTATTTTAACTATTTAACTTTTAACTATTAATGAGACATTTTTATCCTGCTCTTATGATAAAACCCCTCAGAGCAACTAACATAATGAAAACTACAACACAGGAAAAAAGTGATCCGTCAGAATAAAAAAATATAAAAGTCAGTAACTAAAAAACCTGGGCAAATAGACATAAGATCTTCACTCAGTGTTCACCCAGTATTGCATGAACTGTCTGGAAAGAACATTCCAAAGTAAAGTGCCACAACCAGGAAGGCCTTACCGTGGTCTGCCATATGCCTCCCCTCTTGCCAATTGAAGACCATCCTTCTGGTATCCTACGTCCCAAACCATTTAGGGTTTTCAAGGACAAAACTAGCATGTTGAAACTGTTCTTGGGAATTCACCAGAAGTCAATGCAGTTCTTCTGAGATGTATGTTACCCACCCAATCCTCAGTTTGCTGCCGAGAACACTGGTGTAATTGTCTTTTCCTTAAATACTTGCTCACATATAAGCATGCCTGATTGATCCGCTGCCTATCCTGCTGTTATTTACATATATTACTGTGGAAATAAGTTTAGCTGCAGTAGGACAATGCCAGAAATCAGCACACAATTCAAACCTTGATCTCAAAGGAATGGTGACATAGCAGTTGATTGAATACTAAAAAAACCCTAGAAAGGCAGAGATGTATTGCAAGGTATATAAAATAGATTATAAATGTCAAATTATTTTGGGCAGCTCAAATAAGGCCTCTTTGTAATCTGTACAGAAAGTTTATAGAATGGAAAGATAAAGATGACTAAAAGCAAAACAAAAAATATGTTGAAAAAGCAAACCCCTGCATGCTACTCACAAAAATTTACACTGATTAAATCACTCAGTCCAGCCAGTGGGCTTTCCCTCTAACCTGATTATCATCTTTATAGGCAGCTATATTTTCCCCCTGCTTCATTTTAGTGCAAGCTAACTAATTATGGAATTTTTAAAATAGCTTTGTTATTTTTGTCTGAATACTCCCTGTCTTCTAGGAGAAAGACAGGGTGCTTATCTGTAACAGTAATTCTCTGAGTGGCTGTATCAGTATATAACATGTCCTAATAAAGATCCAAATAATTTAGGCATATCTGGGAAAGAACACATTGCTGGTGAAAACAAAGACTAGAGGCAGATAATCTGTTTAAAGTAATCTGGGAGAAGTTCTAGTTTTTCCCCTGACCAGTTTGCAGCCTTTTTAAAATCTAAAGTGGAGGCCATCCGCCGGGAGCTCTCTCCGTTTTTAAAAACAGTGAGTCGAGCAGAGATGTCCAGCGCTCCGTCTTACCCAGTGACTTTTGATTCTTTTCAGCCTGTAATGCCTGATTCCGTCTCCATGGTGCTTGACCGCTGCCGAGCCACCACCTCCTCCTTGGACCCTTGCCCAGCCTGGTTAATCAAAGCAGCCAGGCCGATAACAACAGAATGGGCCACAGTAATAATAAAGGAGTCTTTCCTTGAGGGTAGATTTCCATCCGCCCTCAAGGAGACACTCATTAGGCCCATAAGAAAGAAACCTAGTTTGGCGGCGGACGAAACTGGCAATTATAGGCCTGTCGCCAATGTTTCTTTCATGAGCAACGTGGTTGAGAGGGTGGTGGCCGATCAGCTCCAGGCTCACCTGGACGAAACGGATGCCCTGGATCCATTTCAGTCGGGCTTCAGGCCGCGCCACGGTACTGAGACGGCATTGCTTGCCCTGTACGATGACCTGCTGAGGGAATGGCGGCGGACGAAACTGGCAATTATAGGCCTGTCGCCAATGTTTCTTTCATGAGCAACGTGGTTGAGAGGGTGGTGGCCGATCAGCTCCAGGCTCACCTGGACGAAACGGATGCCCTGGATCCATTTCAGTCGGGCTTCAGGCCGCGCCACGGTACTGAGACGGCATTGCTTGCCCTGTACGATGACCTGCTGAGGGAAGCCGACAGTGGCAAAATCTCCCTGCTGGTCCTCCT